CTTGAAAACTCTCCTTTTCCAGTTTCGTGGCCCATGAGCCTTAAACACACTCTTAATATGACATAGATGCCCATATGCATGCATGATAAGCTCTAGGGAAGAATATATTAAGCTATTTCGGTAATGTCAAGCACGTTGCAGTATGATGAAAGCTGGTGCTTCTGATATTCTTAAATCATGGATGTGTAATGAAGACAAGAGTGATTCTGCCTTATGCAAATATTCCTATATTGATCATTTGTTACTACAAACATGACTTTTTTTTTCTTCTTCATATTTTCCTCACAGATGGGAACGGCATTTCTGATAACAGGGAAATTGGAAATGGGCTTGGATCCTGACTACCTCAGCCTAATTTGAGTATACGGTATTATTTCCTCCTTGGAAGTCATAGTCCAGCTGATCCCATTGACTCAACTTCACTAAAGTTCATTCAAAGTCAGATGGATTTTTCCTGTGTGCTCACTATCCCTTTCCTACAACCCAGGAGGTGAGGGAGGCAGGATTTCCCTTTGCAGATGCCATGCTGACTCTTTTGCATACCAAACTCATTTGTCCAGTGCATAACTGATCTGCATTCACTCTATGGTGATCTTGATTATTGGAATTTCAAGAATATACATGAAAAAGACTGCAGCATTAAAGAAAACTATGGTACTTCTGCAGTACAATAGGCAAAATTGTCACCTTGAAGATTACCAACTTGATAAATTGCAAACCCTGTTTTGCCATGGCTGAGAACTTAAGAGGTCATTGGTTATAAGAAGTCCCAAGTTTACAGAAAGGAAAAAGAAATAATTAAAAGAAGTAATGGGAAATTGAAGGACTCCTCTTGAGGGCAAGAGTGGTATGTGTGTGTGATTCCTGAATTGAAGCATGGGAAATAAGTAACTAGGGCAGGTCTGTGAACACCAAGGGCCTGATACTATTTCAAGTCAGGTGACAAGTAGGGGTACAGTAAACGTTGCCCATGAGATGCAGATCAGTGAAGTTGTGAGCTTAGGAACTGTGACAGAAACACTGCTATGAAAATCCACCTCAACTTGGAGTAATTAAACATTTCCTAATTCTTTCTGCTGTGCTGCAACTTGACAGCTCCTTACACAGATTAGATTGAAGGTCAGATTAAAAAAAAAAAAAATCAACCCCAAAACAAAACCAAGTCTCCGGACAGACTGCAAATAACTTTATCTTCATCCTGCGTCTTACTTCATCATATTAATACACAGATTCAACCTTACAGGGCTCTCAAAGTGACTTTGCTTACTCTATCACCCACTTATCTGCCACACAACCATTTGACTCGAAGTGACAGCTGAAAAACTGTGCCCTCTATTACTTTTTCTTGTTTAGAAGCAATTGCTATATCAGCAAGAGAAAAGTCACTCCATTTGATTAATAATACATACTGATGGTTGAGACATTCAGTCAGAAGACTGATAAATTGTTAAGCTGCTGAAATCCACTGGCGGGTTTCTTTAGGTCTAGACTTACATTCTGTCCTTCCTGCTTTGTGGAAGCTCACATAAGACACCACTAAATATTTTCTTTGTAAGCTGTGTAAGATAGGGAAAAGATAAGTAAGTTAGTGATTTTCAGCCAGTCTTCCTATACACGGTAAGCCTGGTTATTGATGCAGCAAATAAATCAACCTGGGAATGTCTGATAGAGCAATATAGTGTTAGCTGTGTATTTTGATTTCTACTTAAGATGACAGGACATAACAAAATATAAAATCAAATATCATCAAAGATGTGCAAAAGAGAACACTTTTTTGTGACCACTGCTCTATTGTTTCCCCACTATCTATTCCCTTTTGCCTCCCTTCCCAACTCGCAACTCTTCCCATTCGTGGATGGTTTGGTTCATTCACTGCTTGCACATATCCGAGCCTTCACCATTTCATCATAGTTTAAAAGAGCAAGAAACAGTCAGAGTGGAACAAAGAATTTTGTTTTCATCTATGACATTTAATATCTGCTGTAGGAACTCAGAATCAGAAAAGCAAACAGAGATTGTTTTTCTTGATAACTGAAGTGTGTTGTTGAAGACAAACACACTTGAACTCGCACATAACCAGAGACACATGACAGGAAGACCTAACCAGGAAGCTGACACAGAGTTGACAAAACAGAGCACTGGGCTTGAGAGCCAACGCACACTTCTAAACATTTAAACATTTGATCCTCTCATGCCAAGTCCAAAGCCTTAATGATGCCACAACAAAGACTAAATGTGTTTGCTCAGTCAGATATTGAGTATAAACCATGTGAAGCCATTAAAATAAATGAAGGTTTTGAACGTTGTTTGAAGGTATCAGAATCATGACCCTTTCACGTTTGGGTGAAGCAGCATTTGGGGAATGGTCTGAGAGGATTCTGTCAAGTGTCACCAAGCAGAAACACAAATTTAAGAATACTCTGGAGATACTGATACTTTAGGGATGACATGCCACTTTCTATGTACTTTGACAAGCGTGCCTTTTTTCTGCCCTTCAAGTAGCTGTTCAAGGACCCACAGAAAAGATACATCAGAAAATGGACAGCAAGCTTGGCCCTGCTGCCTTAGGAAAGATGAGAGCATATGTGAACCTTGAAAAGCTTTCACCCACAAAACCTCCCCAATTCACACTTTGAAGCACAAGGGCAGTCAGAGATGCTGGCTGATTAGAACCCCAAAACTGAAGGTGACCAAGCCCAGATACAGGCAGAAACTGGGGGCACAGCCACATGCAATTGCTCCCAACTTCACCGTCTCCCCAGGCTACTGACCTCCTCAGTCCCGCCCTGATCATCTCCCCATGATTTCCTCTCAGCGTGTCTTTTTAGCTTTTCACTCTGTTTCTGTTTGGTCCCTGACACTCAGAAGGAAGACAGGAAAAAAAGCATGCCAGCTGAGTCCCTCCCACTTCTTTCTGGACCAGCTAAAATCTAGAGAACTGCATGTTCAGCAGTTCAGCTGGGGGCATCCTAGGGCTGCAAGACACCGGCATGCAGCCCAGGGCCCTTCCTCACACACATACTTGGTGTAATAAGAACCTTTTGAAAGGACAGATAATAAGAGCTATGCATGGGAGTCTGAAACAAAGATACTCTAAGAAAAAAAAAATCTACCATTTTCCAAAATTACTTCCTGGTGTCTATTTAATAATCAAATAACAATCAAGTAAGACATGGTGCAGACAACTTAATGGAGTTATCATCAAATCCAAGATTTCAGAAGTGGCAAAAAGTATATTCCTGCATTAAGATAAGTCAAAACAACATGCTTCAGTTTACTAAAATTTTCTTTACTTAAATAAGTAACATCCACCAACATCACTCTTAAACCTGAGCCACTTGATTTTTCAGTACTGGAAGTTCTATCCTGCAGAAAGATAAACACAAATTTTAACTTTTTCACTTCAGAGACTGCTCTTCTTTTCAGGTAGTAATACCTTCAATACTAAAATTAACAGGCAATAACCACTAAAAGCATACAGAGGAAAGAGAACAGATTGTGAATGAAGGGGAAGTCAGAAAAACACGATTAGGAGAGATATAGCTCTCAGGGTTAGATTATCCTGTCCCCCTACTTCCATTTTGTTATTATGTTGCATCTCGTCTATTTCTTCTGTTGAAAAAGTGTGGATGGGAAACTCACACTGAAAATGTGAATTTACCACAAACAAAATCCCTTTGTTCACACACCTGAGAAACAAAGAAACAAAGATATAATGATACCTTTCTACAGCTATTTTCCCAATCAATTTTGGCTACACTGAAATACAAAGGCAAGCAACCCTTTTATTGATAAGCCAAAGCCAGTATTTCTGTAAAAGAAATACTGACATAGAGGAAAGCAGAGAAGGTAATTAATATATTGAAATATGGGTATTTTCCATCCAATTAATTGCTCCAATGAACAGAGAAAGAAAAGGTTACATAATCTAAAAAGTCTGGGGCTTGTTTGGGGATTTTTGCCTTTTCTATTAAGTTCTAGGCTGCTGTCCACAACAGTCTCATTAAACTCATTAACTGTGTAAGCAAAATTATATTGTATCAGTTGTCCAGCTTAACATTTTGTATAAACTAAAGCCTAAAGTTAGGGCTTAGTATATGGTAAGTCTACTCAAGATAAATTTGACCGCAGTCATTACCTTTTGATGCCCGCAACTGCGACTTAGGAATGTTAATTCTCCCATTCCCTATTCTCAATATTTTGGTTCTCCAAGTACTTTACTGTCTTTGAAATGGTAAGGTAAATGTCCCTCCTCCCCCTTTTGTTAAAATACATGACAGCCCTTTGTATGCCGTAGCAGGTGCTGAAGAAAAATGCTTTTCTATTAAGTCAAGAATGTCACTATTTGGGTTGTGAGACAGCAGGCAGACCTTCATCATTTTTGCAAGTTATCTCCAGGGAAAACCATCAGCATGTTTTATTTCCACACTATCAACTCACTCTTATCACACACCATCATTCTTCAAAGACAGCCATTTGAATAATACTTCAGACTTGACAATGGCTGACAGATAAAGAACCATGAAATTAAACACAGTGCCTACTAATAAAGTGCTAAATACGAGTTAAGGAAAAAAGAAAAAATGAAAAACTAGACCAATATTCCATTAACACTAATTACAATACAGATTCAGGAAGCGGAAAACATATTTTTATATAAATTCCCAAGAAACTCTATACACAAAAACTGTTTGCGTAGTGAAAGAATGGAAGCAAACACTGTACCAAAGTCAGTGATAAGTGACAGAATCATAGAATCAACCAGGTTGGAAAAGACCTCCGAGATCATCAAGCCCAAACCTTGATAGTTACTAAAGCCCAAGCAGAGGCAGGTTTTTTGGCACTGGAAGGAATGGCAATTCCCCTCCTCACCCACAGATCTAATTCCTGCCACAGAAAGCCAGCAATGTTTTTTCTTCTCCCAAACTCATACTTGATAATTTCTTTTAAACCAAGATAATTTAAAATTCTATGGAACAACAGAACTGAACAGAACCAAATTCAAGATGTTAAAGTGTTTATTTTAGGAATGTGGATAAAAATAGCACGGACATCTTCAATACTGTACATTTGTTTAATAGATAATATACAGCAAGGGAGGTTATTTAAAGTGTACAGAATAAATGGGAACGAACATCAGACTGGGGGACAGAAGAGTCATTTGCTTGTCACATTGTACTGGTAAGCTACTAAAAATGCTCAAGGAAACACCTCTATGAAAAGAAAGACAGGAAATAAATCACATTATAGAAATATCAACAGAACAATAAAAGGTTAAAAAAATACCACTTTCTTACTGTACTGGGTCTGGTTGGGATTGAGGTAACTTTCTTCACAGCAGCCTGTATGGTGCTGCTTTGCTTTGGATTTGTGGCAGGAACAGTGCTGGTAATACACCAGTGCTTTGGCTTTTGCTGAGCATTGCTTGCACAGCATCAAGGTTTCATTTTTTCCCCACTCTGACCGTTCCAGCAAGGAGGCCAGGGGTGAGCAAGAAGCTGGGAGGGGATACAATTGGGACAGCTGGCCAGAACTGACCCAAATGATATTCCAGGCTCCCCAAGAAAAACTGCGGGGAGGCTGGGCAGAGATCTGCTTCTGGGAGGTGGAAATTCCCTTTGCATGGCTTGTTCCCACTTACTCTCCTTTTCTTCACTTAGAGTGTTTTTATCTCAACCCTTTGCTGTTCCCATTCCCTCCCTCATCCCTCTGAGGGAGGAAGCAGCTGGGCAGTGCTTAGCTGCTGGCCAGGGTCAGCTCTGGTAAACTGCAGAATCTGGGCAACTTTTTACTTTTTTTTCATTATACATTAAGCTTACAAAAGAAAGATTTCACACAGATTGATGTTTCTTAAATTTGGGCACACATAACCATGTACATTTCAAGAGTGACCTTCTTCCACTTTTGCTAAGTGAAGTAGTTTCTTTTTCACATCAGTGCTACATCCCGAGTACATATTAACATTTCCACAACTGAACTGAATTATTCAAAGACAAATATGCTCCCCTCTCTCAACCCTTACATATTACACTCTTGGAAGATCTTTTTCCAGATAGAAAAAACCTCCACCCACAAGAATGTGTGTGCTGTATTTTCTCATCAGCTATTTCTGCCATGTGAAGCTGTGCTTCCATGTTGCTTTTTATTTTACATATATATATATATATATATATATAAAATCTTTATTTAGGAACATGGGAACAACTGCTTTAAATGGCAATTAAAACTGAACTCAAATTGTGACTATTAACCGTCTACATCAAGTAATAAAATACAGTTTTAAGAAGAGGAAAGATAGTCACAAAATTCAGCAAACATTTCAACAATAAAACCATTTATAAAAATTAGTTCTATATGAGTAGGAGATAGGAACATGTTATTTCATAAAGTCTTTAGCTGCTTCTAGTTTTACAATCAGGAAAAAACAATTCAGGGAAAAAAAAAACAAAGCAAAAGAGCACAAAGGCTAAATGAAAACAGTCTTCCTGTCTTCTGGAGTCACAGCTCTAGTGGAAGGTGCTCAGCTTTATTCATTCTCAAATCTGCTGTACGGGTTATCAGAATCCTGAAGAAGACCTGTAAAACAAAACAGGACCACATTTATCACTTTCTTACCAGTATCACATAAATACCTTGAGTTACTGACTTCACTTCAATAGGTATTCCATAAAACAAATCCAAAAGGCAATTCTTGTAATAATTGCTCTATTACCTAAACACTCAAGTATTACAATAAATTGAAAGTGTTCTTAAGCACTCGTATTTCTCAGACTATAATCATATATAAGTATTTCATGTTTTAGCAGGGAGAAAACATTTCTGTATGAAAAATTATTTCTCATTTGTGAGGTATACCCTAAAAAATGCACTTGTGAGAGTCAAGTTGACAAAAACCTAAGCATAGACGTGTCAGGAAGAACAGATTCAGGCTTGCCAGTTTATAAATGCAAGTGACTGTAAGATCATCATCCTTTTAAAATGTAAGATGCTGCTACTTTGACTTAGTTCTACTTCGATTATACCCAACCATCTGTCACATTCAGCCACTTATAGCTTTTCTGCAACAGGACAATAATCTCTAAGAACAAATGAAGATGACTTCTACATGCACTAAAACCTCCAGAGACCAGAACAAGAGCATCACTTAATCCAGGTTGCAGTATGTTTCCACCACAAAGATTCTTAATGACTTTACCAGAATATTGTCACAGTAAGCACTGCAAAGCTATCCAATTATTCTGAGCGTCTGGAAATGCAGACCATCCTCTGTAAGGGTTAGCTGAGCAATCACTGTTCCACATAGTAATTATTTCGAAGAGATTTGAAACCACCCACCAGATTTGGGTTAGGTAGAAGCATATACTAAAAATAAAGGAGTCCTGTAAAAGTCCAGAGGCTGACCTTTTGTTGTGCAAGAACAAGAACACTACTGCTATCTTTTCTACTGGGGTTTTTATACTGATGTCTGGCAAACCTGCACTCTTCTCTAGCTCATTTGTTTAGGCATGGAGACACAACGACAGTGCAGCCAGGCAAATCACGAATGTTCAGATTCACAATAGTGAAAACAAAATTACACTAGTCACTGCCAAACCTTGTAAACTCACCTCAGACCTTTTCACACCATACCTCTTTTCCACATGCACCTGCACACAGATATTGAACATTCACTATTCTACCTGAAAGTCAAAAGCTAATTGTCTGCCAAAGGCAGACTAGACTTTTGCCTACCTTGTTGCAGTTGGAGAGCTTCGTTTGAACTGCCAGGTTATTTAAGATTCCAATCAAGAAGCACAACTGCTTAGTGCTGATTACTGTATGAGTTACTGCAACTAACTACCTGATAGGGAACAGTAAATATTAAGGAATAAGTATGAAAAGTCCTATAATCACTCAAATATACAAGATTACGAGCAGTCAGCTTGTAAAAGGTTAATATCAAAACCAGCCTTCATACAATGTCTCTTACTTGTGAAAAAAGAAGTAAGGCAATCACATTTATAAAGCTTCTGCCAGTTAACATGAAATACAGCCTATTTACCTGGTATAGTACCTTGCATCAGAGGTACTATCCCCTTCTCTCATTGTTAAAAAAAATTACAAATTTGTGTAATAAGAATATGCTTAGGTTGAAAATTATCTACAATATTTAGAGATTTTGAAATGTTTATATTTTTAAACTTTTAGAAAGCGGTTACTTGTCAAATTTTAATCTTACCTTTCATGCATTTAAACAAAAAATTGTGATGTCTGTTAAGTCTACTCTAGCTGACAAGTAAGCTAACACATAATAAAAAATCCCTCCTATCCTTGGCCTGCCATTCAACCTTTAGTGCCTTCAGGTAACATTCCTGCATTAATATAAGCCCAAACCACACAGTGAGAAGAAACATTTTCTTTATTTCCAGACCATCACCACCTTCCTCCAGACATGTTAATAGTTTGGCAGTTAGAATTTATGGATCCTAATATATTTAGTTACCTGAAACACAACTAAGTAGTCTAATTTTAAAAAAAATTTGCAGTACTTCAGTATTTCACCTGTTCCAAATAAAAAACACATCTACACAACATTTACAGAAAATCAGCATCAATACCAGAAATTACCATTATTATTACAATTGCCATTGTAATGCATAAACTCCCTGCACTCATTAAGTTCCACTTAGAAATAAACACACCAAACTTCAGAAACTTTTCCAGAAATTGGCAAGTTGTGGTACCAGATTCCCTGATAAAATTAACGTAGGCTGCATACTTCTCTCTATAGAGTCTGGCAAGTGCTTAGTATGTCTTTTTGATATTTCATTCAGGATACATATTCGACACTTCATAGGTCTGAAAGCAGCATAGTAAAAGATACTGTTCTTTACAGCTTAAATGCAATGGAAAAGATTTTCTACATCCAATAATCCAATTTCCAATTAACCAGATGATTGTTAAGAGTCCTGATAAACTTCTTCTATACCATTCTGGGGAGCAAATATACTTTTCTCTGCCTCTGCCCCAAAACACTTGGCTAAAAAGACATTTTAGAAAACTAATCCTCTCCCTCTGCCCCAAAACACTTGGCTAAAAAGACATTTTAGAAAACTAATCCTCATATTTCAAGTGAGTGTGTAACTTTTACTCCTCACTGCAAATGTAATTCCCAGTAGTACTTGCTGTCGTTTTACTGAATTATGTTTAGGAATGAACAGATATAATCACCACCAACCAGGCATTAGTATGCTTAACTTAAAATCCTCTGATCTGTTTTATTGTACAATACTGAAACTCAACAAGCTTTAAGAACTGTGGGTCAATCTAGTGGGAATACTACTGGTCATGACTTCAGAAACTGATCTCCCAGGAAAAATGGAGTCCAAGAGAAATGGCAAGCCTTCTTTCCAAATGAGAATAACCACGGGTTACAACACCTGATACACTTTGCTCTTAGTCTTGCTCTCAAACCTGCATCCAGTGTTTAAATTTCTTTTATCCTCAGAATTCTAAGTACATTGTAAGGTTACATTAAGTGAGAGGAGGGAGACAGCAGTTCATCACTTTCACCAGTGCTTACTGAAGAAGTTGTATCAGGCTCCAGTAAGTGGACAAAAACAATCTGGAGAGACATACAAAAAAAGGAGCATGACAAAAAGCTCCTGTCAGCTGCTGCAGCTGCTCTTATCTGTGCCTCTCCGAGGAGCTGTGAGCCAATGCTAATGGGACAGCACGTCAGGTTCAGCTAAAGCTCATGTGCTGCCTTGAACCAGACACGAGTTGTCTCTCCACTGTTTCCCATTTGACATGAGAGCGACTGCCCAACTTGTCATTTACACTCAGGGGTTCAAAGAAGCCAGATGTTTGTAGCTTTAGGAGTCTTGTTTGCAATCAAGTCCATTACATGTTACTGGTGAACTTGAATATTGACACACAGGTCACTTACAAGAACTTTTAACATCTTACTTGTATTTACCCTCATTTTGAGGTTAGTATTTGACCTACTTAGCAGTATCTAAGAAACACTCAAAAATCTGAAAGGTATAGTAGTCAAGTATCTTGTTAGCTTGTATGAAATAATGAGGCCTCCTAATATGTATGAAAAGATAAAGCAATGGTAAGAAATTAATACTTCTTTCCAGTATATTCATTTATATTGTATACCATCTAATTATGCAGGTTCTCAGTCACTGAGATCTGACTCTCATCACATATCAGCACTGACCAAAATCAGAATTAACAACTGAAATATTTACAAAAGTCTATGCTTGGAAAAAACCCAACTTAGTTTGCTGCATGTCTTCATCCCTTATTAAATGTTTCCTCTTTATTTTTAATCTCCAGATTGACAACTGTATTCTTGACAACAAACTAAATAGCTTTCAGTGTACAGCAACGCAAGGTTTTCCTACCTTGCATTCAGAACAGTAAAGAAGGTCAAGGCAAAGTATCTACCTTGAACAGGAGCAACATTTACTGTGACAAACTACTGAATATAAAAATCAATGTCTCACATAAAACAAGGGAGATAGGATTACATATCATTAAAATAGCTGATCAAAACCTTTGCAGAACTGAAGCAATGAAATGGTAGTAATTTTGTAAAAATTAAGAGAAAGAATCCTTTTACTAATACCAGGCAAGATCCTGAAATAAATAAATAAGAAAGCAGATCTATACTAATACTATACTGAACACACAATAGCAGCAAATGCAGCAGGAATTAAATTGTAGCTCCTTTGTATACTACACAAGCTGCAAAGTCTTCTGAAGTCTACTTTAAATTTTTCCTAAGAGTCAACATATAATTTGTGTAATCATATTCCATTCATATATGTGAGCAAATGAAAAATACTATGAAATTGTGCAACAAAGAAACAATTCAAAGTGCGTACTCCTGGTTGCTAAAGCTCTTTATTGCTTCCAATGCTCCCAAAGGACTGTGGCTAGAGTGACACCTGCAATGCATTATAAATGTGTAATTACCATTTAAATGGGGTATGGAAAGCTGGTGGATGAAATGGGGAAAGGCATTCCCTTAAAGCCAACCAAATACCAAAATTTCGGGCATGATCATCTTAATCTACAGAGTCAGGTTAACAAAGTCATTGTCATTCTGCCACTCACCCATGCCTACTTAACTGAGAATCCACTCTGCAGTGTGTAAGGGTGTAAAGTAATCTAGTGCCTCCACAATTATTTGCAGCAATTTTTATTAGATTGTGTTTAATATGCTAACATCCATATTTTCTAGACAGTAAAAAATGAGGACAGAAGATCCAAGTCTACTCCATGTCTCATTGAATTATTCTGACAATCATTTGTCTGTATATTATCAGAACACAACCCATATATGTAATAGCATTATATTTAGGGATATTTCAAAATTTATACATATTTCGTATTTAATTTTTACTCAGTTACAGAAATTCTTTCAGGATGTGCCAATTATTTATGTAAGAATTAGGTTTTCCTTTAGGATAAAAATCAATGATGAGAATCCAGGCCTCAAATTGGTATATCTGATAACATAAATTAATCTTTGCTTAGGCAATAAAGCAAACCTGCCAATAAATAAACTTTATATAGAAGTTTGCTATTAAAATTTAAGTTTTATAGTCCAATTGCAATCTTATGCAGGTAAAAGGCACAGCAAAACATAACTGCAATAACTGCAAGAAGATGTCGGTATGAACTTGTTTCTAGTTAAGTCATTGACAGACTAACATGCTTCAAGCAGAGGCAAAATGACACTGGCTCTCATATGACTGTGTGTCGGGATACAGAAATTGTGTGAACAATTTCTATTGTATTTCTGCGACCTTTGCCTTGGCATGGCTGGGTGCAGATAGTAAAAAATACTGCGCCACCAATATGGCTGCAGGCCTTGTGCCAAGGTGAAGGAGGAGTTCTTTTGGCAGGTAAACAAGTACAACGCAGTATGTTTTCCTTATGTATCCAATGTAGCCTGGGAAAGAATCACGTGTCTGTGTGTGATAAGCAGTATATAAGTTGTCTTTCTTCTAATAAAGCTGACATTTTGCCGACCATAATGGCCTATGAGCATTTGTCCATGCCCCTCCGCCGATAACTGTGTGCATGGTACAGCTACAAGCAAGATTTATTGAATTTGGTGTATGTATTCCAGAGGCACTGATTATGCAGTTATTTACTTCAGGAAACTCAGGTACTCCAACAAGATCCAGCAAAGCATCCCGCAGAAGTCTGAAAGTTAAGCACTGAAGAGAGAACTGTCTTCACTAAAATGTAGAGCCATCCACTGCCTGAACAGAACAGAACACAGCCTTCTGAACATTCCCAGTGCAGTGCTTTGATACCAGAACTGCGACACCGAATTCAGGACTTGTCCACTCTTGGTTGCATCAAGGAGATGCAAAGGTATGTGCATGTCTGCACAGAGTGCTGCAAGTTGTTGTGAGGACATAGCCATTGTCCTAAGTTCTTAACCAGATCTACCCCAATGATTCAAACTTATTGAGATTGACTCCGAGGTCTCTTCTAAGGAGAAACAAACACAAAAAGCCTGTGTTGTTTTATTTTGCTGTTTGGATTTTGTTTGCTTTTTTACATCTGAACTATTGTTGTCAACCACTCAAACACCTCTAGAAACTGAATTGTGGTTGGCATACAGGGTCAATTATCCTATAAAATACCACAGGACTGAACTTCAATAACTGATGTTTAACAAAAAAATTTCTTCCAGTTTCTATAACATTCTTCCTCCTGTAGCTCAAGCTTCAGTGTAGTTTTTCTCCACTCCAGCAAAGGAACATTGTTTTGCAAACGCTCTCCAGGCAGAGAATTCCCTATAGAGATTGTCTGTATCACTTCTGCATCAGCCAAAGGGCAGGCTGCAGATTCATGAAGACATCCCCAGACTCTGCCCATCAGTTTAACAAGAGGATGAAAATTAACGGCTTTGAGTGACTGTTCAGACCCCTAGAATCACCCCCTCTGACATTAGTGCAATTTGCATAATAAAAAATGCAGCAGTTTTAGCATATCTTTCTCTGAATACACAGTACTATTAACCCTATGAACAAATCAAATGAAAAGTGCAAGCACTGACAAGCCTACATAATAAGAGCCTCCTACACAGCACAGCAGGTCCTACAATCTTGTGATATTCTATTACTGGACGATAGCTCCACTTAAAAACAAAGAAAAAAATAACAATTTTAATCCCTACATTAGGCTGCACCCTCCACCCTTCTTTTTCAATCTTGATTTAAAAAGCTTCCTATCTGCTAGCCAGTCTACCCTCCCTTAATACCCATGAGTCTAGTAGCAAAGGTCAACTAGCTTGATTTACCACGTTCAAGAACAAACAAACAAAAGAGCCCCCAAAATCAGTACTCTTACTTAGGAACAGAAAGAACCATTTATTTTAATCAATATATTTAAATGCCCATCCCAAGCAAACACCCCATCCAGCACACTTTGTCTTGCCCAGTGGGAGCATCAGTGCAGGAAGAGAACAGGCGCATAATAGTGCTGAGATCAGGTGCTCAGGTGTCAGAAGACATGCATCAGTGGGAAACTGGGCCTGATTACTTCTGCTGCTCATAAAGCAGCTTGTTTCTGCTGTGAATTTTAATAGTAATTAGGAAAAAGGAATCCATTTAGATACAGATAACACATACCATACTTCTTACGTATTTCATCATGCTTCAGTTTTCTTTCATGTTTCCTGCAAGAAATAAAGGCATCAAAAGAACATTCAGATTGTTTTGAGCTGTAAGCAAAATATAATTACACCTAAAATGGACAACAGCATTTTTTACATTAGTATGCAATTACAAATTTTTAAAAAATCACATTTAGCAGATACAGATCTTATCTTTCTATATACACTTTATGCATCTGTAAGACTCTCTATAACTTCTCACTAACCGTTAATGTCAAAATAAGATGTATTAAAATAAACAATAAGAAATACTGGTTTTTCTATATAAAAGTAATGCATCCATGTATATTTACACATACACCCACTGAGGTATTCATGTCTACATAACAAGCAAGGCACTACACTATGCTGGAAGACTCCCTAATGCTTTCCAGCAGGAAGCATAATTGTAAAATTTAGCTGTAAATACAGTATGCTTCAGAATCCTAATCACTGTAAGAATTCCAAAAAGACAAAATGCGTATTACTGTTTTGTTTAAGCTGTACAGCAAGTGAAAACTACTAGTGTCAAAAATCCAGCATGGCATCCATGCAGAAAATAAATTAAAATATTGTGCTATAGAGAAATTGTTTTTTACGTTTCTGATCATAGGACAGTTTTCAAGACTATCTAATATTGCCAAACTTTAATTATTTGCAAAAACCAAGAGTCTGATGAGTCAATTTCTTCTTCCCCTTTGCAAAGGTGAAGGGGGAAAAAAATTAAGGATGTTTAAATGGAAATCATTCCATCATTCCTCAGATAGTTTTCCTATATTTCAAAGGAAGCATATATTTTGCTTAGTTTGAAAAACAAACACAAAAGCTTCTACATATCTGTTTCAGAAGTATGATCCAGGATCTACATATTTTTAGGAAGGGACATAGAATTTGGCAAAACAATGTTCCTCTAACAAAAATTTAAAAATACACCGTTTGCTGTCCCTGTCAAAATTCAATCCAGCTAGACAAGTTGTGACTTTTGCTGAATTCCAATTTGCACATATTCAGCAGAAAGCTGTTAAGCACTGACAGCTTAATTCACCAAAGATCCCAACTGCCCTATGCATATTTCACCTCCAAACAATTCCTACTGCTAAACAGATCCTGTGTGTCCTCAGAAGCAATTATCCTGCTTCCTACAGAGCTGAAGGGCTGAACTGGCCTTTCCCAGCAACTGCACTTCTGGAAAAGCAAGCACATAAAGCATAATGAGGAAAACCAAGCAAGACAGATTCAAAACCTTCCACTTCTATTTCTCTGAGATGCCCAATCTCCCTTACATCCCTTTCCACTATTAAGCCCAGGCAGCACAGTAAACAACTTGACCAAATGCAGGAGGAGGAATTGGTGAGTCAGGGTGATGAAATTCATGCAGATGAAGAAAGTCAGGACTGAGATGTTGAAGAGAACAGAAAAAGGACAAAACAAATTGACCTACTGAGGGTAACCTGACGACAAGATTTCTGCTTTTTGTGTTACATAAGAGAAAGATATGAAATGAGGCAAGGGATCTCAGGAAGAGAATAAGAGAAATTCTGCTGAAAGCAGCCTCCTCCTGTATAAAGCCAAAACTTTCTTCTATATAGTTTTCATGTGATACCATGTGACCATAAACCAGGTTTGTTACTGGTGGTACTAATGGCATTTTTAACTGTTTTGCCTAGCATGTCTGAAGTAATGGAGACTCACTGGTGCACTTTCAACTGACAACAGTACTTCAGCAGTCAGTCTGAGTCAGTTCTGAACTCAGAAAGCACTAAGAATCTGCATAACAAGGGAGAGTGGAAAATCATGCTGTGCAAGCTTTAAACCTCAGAAACACTTCAGGATACTTCCCTAGGGTATTCAAAACAAACCACCAAACACCTAGTTAAGTCTGAAGGGTAAAACCATTATTATCAGTGAAATGTTCAAACTCTGACAGGTAGCCACGACTACATCACTTCACCAGTGACTAAATCCTTGCACAGTAAATAAGGCTTAGGTACACATTGACCGAGGAGAATCAGACGCAATTCTGAACAGGCAGTCACTGAATCAGCCATCCAGGTGACTCACTGCACCGTCCACATCTTGGTATTACGATCAGCTGAAGTCACTTTAGTCTTCTCAGCTGGTTCTGTTTCTTAACAGTACTGCTCTTACTCCATCTTCTATATGCTAAATTCTTGGCTTCTCACGCAAGATGTCCCCACTGCTGTAAGATGAGAGAGTATTCTTCCCAATACTAACAATTTACATAATAATTTTCCACACTTGGTTCTTCGCAAATGAACTGCAATCCTTTCTTTCCCTGGCCTCCCTCCTACTTCTCCCTTACCAGTACACTACAAAATTATACTTGGCAGCTGATCTCATTGTTTTTCATTTGTTTATAAACTTCTAAAACAAATAATGGCTTATAAAATATATAAATATACCATATAAATGTACCATGTATTTGCAGCTGTAAATAACTGAGTGTACAGAAAGACTCACTACTTGATGCTATGTTTAAAAATGGTTTTTCATGTTAGAGATGACATGAAGTCCAATAAAGGACTATGCAATGATACCTCTTTTCAGTCAAAAACTGAACTCCAGACATTCTGTGTTTTCCTCTGCAGTTTGCTCATCACAAATGGCTTGTTGAGAATATTAATTTGGTCTTCAGCCTGCTACTAACAATTCATCCTCCAAAGGTCTCAGAAGCAGCAAGCAATGGGTAGGGTGAAGTGTTCTGGTTGCTGATAGTGGCCTAGTCCTTATGTTTTCCCACGACGCCCAGCCACACACACAATAGGTATGAATGTTCAGAACACAGGAGTACCCCAGGGCTGCTGCTAAACTCTCTCCTGCAATTAGAACAGATTCTGTTTCACAGAAACACTCCTGAGACAAGCTGGAAAAGAGGGATGCTGCTCTAAGTAAGGCTGCAGCAATCATTCTGGCAGAGCAGTCTGCTTCCAGTGATCCTTGTTCCTAAGCTTAATTCAAGAATGGAGTTGGTATTAGCTCTGTGTTGCTAATTGCCTGGTGCAACACTACTTGCTCGGCGTGTGCACAGCAAACCTTACGCTCAAGAAGTATCAGACTTTCTACAGATTAACTGTACCAGGAATTTAAAGTTGATACACAAATCACAATGGAAAGGTTATGCCACACAATAATTTCCTATTATGCACCTGGTCAGAAGTCTTTGCTTTATAACAAACATAGGTAAGTGTTGACCTAAGTGAACAAAGTAACATAATTAAGGACGTACATTTCATCACAACAAGGCACATGGTTTTGCCATACAAAAAAATGTTGGATGTTCCTCACTGGGTCCCTTCTGTTTAGAAAGGAGCAAAAGCAATATAGGAGAAACATCACCTTCACACTAGCACTCTGCCTATTGTGCCATGACTAGTTATAATTGGACTAAAAGGTAGAAAATTCCCTTTTTTTCTGATCCATTGCAAATATTCAGCATCACTTATCTGAGAAATTGTGTGGTACAACTATGTGTGAGCATATTTCCTAAACTGGACACCTATTTCTTACCCTTCTGTGCACGTTTAAGTACAACATTTTCAGCTCACAAATTCAGATGTTTATGAAAACAAGTCTGCGTCCCTTTTCTTCTCAGATTAAGTTTGACATTACCCTGCAATGATGAAAGGGGAAGTACTGCTTCCTACTCTGTTCCCAAATAAATACTTTCTTTGCTTTTCCCACATCCCTGGATTCATGATGTCCTTGCATCCTGTGGATGTAATCTTACTGATATATGCTGAGACTCTTCACTGAACTCATCCAACAGTATAAAAATGTCCAAAACCCCACAGAAATGTGAACAGCTTTATGTAAAACAAATTTTGCATAGTACAGAGTTAAGGAATGTTGTGCCCTGGGCAAGAAAGTAAGAATGCTCTCTGCATCAGCAGCTCTCAGTTACAACAGAAGTAAAATGCCTTTACACACAATCTAAAGTGTTAAACTTGTGTCATCATTACACTTGAAAAATACGTATTTTGAAAACATTAATTTTAGCTCAACTACACTAGGAGACATCTAATTCTCATCTTTTCTCTTCAGAAAGTTACCTTTAAGCTTATGCTTTCCTAAACAATTATAAATGCAGAATACACACTGCTGCAACAGTAAATCTGTGTTGTTAAAATCTGTGCAGAACAAAAATAATCTAAGTTCAAATTTGCTAAGTTTAAAAGCTACTAAACTGTATTATACAGCCACTAGAAAATGGGAATACATATATTAAACTTTGTATACTTGAGAAAAATAATAATCACAAACCCAAAAACTAATCAAACTTCGCACTTAGTCAAGCTCTGAAAAATTCTTTGGTATATGTCCCCATTGTATCCTATTCTAATTTTTTCTATTGCCAGAAAGTTTAGGAATTTTGTACAAGGCTAAAAGACACATCAATTTAAGCCATTACAAGAGAACGTATTCTGCTCCTTAATATCACAGTGCTACTTCAGAGTCATAATCACCATCAGATTCAGGGCAAACAGTTACTGTACTTGCCCATATAATCTGTCAGTTCAGAAAACAGTTGCGTGGAGTTAAGATGAGTGATTCTCTCAGCTCCTTCCAGTCAGATACATGAGCAACAGCAAGTGCATCTGTAAGACCACCTTACTAACTTCCACTTTTGTGCCCAGTCAGAAACCTACCTGTCTTGTCTCTTTATGCACATCTGTAATAGAGAAACTTTATATCTTCATGCAAGAGCCCCACGAGGATTCTCATGTGGAAGCACGCCTTGCTCCCTAACTCCCTGCTCATATTAACAATCAATCCGAGTTCAGGAGAAAACAGCAGGCATCAGGCAGGCAGTGAAGGTGCCCACCTGTTATTTGGCAGATGAGTCTTTAGAGAACAAAACCAGGAAGTGGCAAACTTAAGATTAATTTCCTTGTCAGCATGTGGGGATTCAAACCCATACCTGACAGCTAGGACACTCTTGTCTTGCTGAAGGCTAATCCACTGTGAATCTCAAAACTGAAGACCATGAAAGGAAGTATGATTCAAAAGGTGCATCTCGTTTTTACCAGGCATCAGTGCCCTATCCATGAAAATTGTTTATCTAAAGAACAATGTAAAACCCATCAAAAGTCACAGCAGAACTAAGCTATAAAAACCTACATCTGAAGGACTGCAGTTCTTACTGAGAAACGCTGTATGAGGGCTGACTCTTGCACTTCTTTTTACACTGTGATACAGCTTTAGCAGAAAGGATGGAAATATGAAATTAGGGCTACAGTGAGATCTGAGCCAAAGTTTTCAATTCCTGAGCCAAATTTTGAATAGGTATGTCACTATCAACTTCTCTACCTTTCCCAGACAGATTTTAAAAGAAAAAGAACCAATAACCAAATGAATCCAACAAGTGGCTCACAACTCTTGATCCCAGCCTCACTTGGGCATTAACTCATGCCACAGGCAGGCATCAGTCCAAGAGAGACTAGACAAGACTTCAGACACTTTCCTCCTGTTTGCTCCTGGCTGGCACAGAGTACTCATGGTACCTGCCACAGTGAGCATCAACTCATTTGCTCCCTGTTCACTTACAAGAATACAGGCTCCTAATCAGGTTCACCAATCTCACATTGAGCCATGTTTTGTAAAAACCTGACACTGTCACGCCTAACTCCACAATGTTTCTTTGTTTAGTACTTCATGTATTCCTTAGAAAGGCAGAATACTCCAACAGCACCAAGAAGCATGTCAAGCTGTCCAGACTCACCTCTGAAGAGACTGTAGTCTTCTTTCCTCTCTCTTCCTAGCTAGCTGCTCTTCTTCTTCATCTGGTCTACTAGAAAAATAAGGAGGAAAGGAAAGTGTAAGAGGAGGAAAAAGCAACTTCACTGCTAAGCAATCACTATTTAGTCACTTGATTTATTTTCAAAAAGAATTTATAGCCTGACCAGAGATACTTCTTCACAGCCATGTAAAATTTAATTGTTGAATAGTATAATTGACAAGTTTCTGTAATTATCCTTTCACATTTTATAATATTTAAACGCTCCGCTCATTGTAGCCATGTGCCCTTCAGCCTCCACAGGGCAATTTGCAGCTTCTTAGGAACAGGCTGCAGACTGTTCCAGAAACAGGACTTGTATTTGCCATTTTCCCCATGTGTCACACCCCATTTTAGAGTAAATGTACTGCATGTGCACAGCTAACTCCATTGTTGTTCCCTGGAAGAAGATTGATGGTTCATAAGCCTTTGATGCCAGAACAATTTATCTTTTCAACAACCATCGCTATCCAATCTCAAGCTGCCCCCAGGAAAGTAGTCTGTTCTGGAATGAACAAGGATTTACCTGAGTGCATCAGCTGTGTGATTCTGGGAAATGCTGAGCCTACACAGTACATCTGAGCTGTGCATGTGCTGATACGCTCTATTGAATATAGGCACTTAAGCTTTGTGACCTGCTTTGGGAAAAGTTCAGCTTCACTTAACCATTAGACAGACTATAAGAACTGCAGAATGCTAAAACAAATGCCAAATGTTTCTGTCTTTAGATTTGTCCTGATAGAATTAATGACAACTCTTCATCATTAGTAAATGGACAACTGCCATGCTTCCCCAGGTGCTAATCATCTTCCAGAAGTGAATGCACTTCTGAAGATGTCTGAGATGAATATTTACAATATTAATATACCTGAAGAGTTGCAGCACCACACATCTGCAGCAACCAGCCTACAAGCTAAGCAAGGGTGACATCCAGTGGTTAATTACAGCACGTCAAATACTTTAAAATACAAAATTCAGACACCAGAACTGGAAATCTGAACTCGATTCTTTAATGTGCTCAATCAGTCCATATATCTCTGAACATTATAGTAATTTCAATACAACCCAGTAATTCTGAATTCGTGCAATGTTTCATATAAAAATTTTCCAGTTCCTCCTTTTGCTACATAAAGAATCGGAAAAATCCTGTGGGAGTTTAGCAGCAGGAAACACATGCAACAGGTCACCTTTACTGGAAAACTATGTTAGACCCTTCTGTAAAATTATTCAATTCCCCATATTAGCATGTCCAGGAAGACTAGAAGCTCCCATTCTCGGGCACCTTTCTGTAAAACTACTTTACTGGAGACCCCAGTATCTTATAACTATGCAATAATCTCACTTCACACTGGTGTTGCAAAATATGAAAACATCAAATAAATAAAATGCTAGTATATGATTCAGAAAATACATTTCTTCCCTATAATTAAAGAGCATTAAATATCTTCTAATTTGTAGATACTTTGAGGAGATGGAGTTTTTCTTCTAAATTCAGAAAGTCTGAGATTATACAATTAAAAAAAGTGGTTGGTAACTGAGGTTCAAGAGAGTCAATTTACTGTAGTTTCATGAATAATTACTATTCATGAAACTATCCCAAGTGCATGGAACCAGACTGTTAGAAGTCCAAAAACACACGATAAAAATAACAAACCGAAACAATGCAACAATAGTCCTAGAATTCCTGTGGTAGGAATGGAGATGGGTGAATCACCTACATTACTGATGTGGGGGTTAACGCATTTAAGTATTCTCTGTGTTCAAGGAAAAGGTAAGTAAGTGCTGGCTTCTTAAACAGTGAAACACCACAGCTTAAGAACTCTCAGAAGGAGTTCTCCAGATCTCTAGATCTCCATCTGAGATCTCAGATGACATCTAAAGAGTGAATAAAACAGTAAATTTCTATAAACTTTCCTTCCTCCAATTCATAAAAAAAAATTGTGTGGAAATTCAGTCCACTAAAATGAGGAAGAAGAGAGCAAAAGAATTCCTGCTAAGAATCAGTGGGTTTAAAGCCAGTAATACATCAGGTCTCAGTGTAATAACACATTCTGAATCCTCCTGAAATAAGCTGGACCCCACTTTGACAAGACCTTTAAATCCTCTAAGGGTCAGAAGATTAAGCTTGACACCTTTGGAGTCCTGGCATAAGATGACTCTCAACTAACCCTCTATTTGTAGAATTAAGATGTTGCAGTACTGATTGACAACTTAGCTACTAAAACTGAAGTCTGGCACAAATATCTCTTTTCACAGGATTCAAGCTTTATTTGTTGGCATGTCAGCCACAGGGGCCTACTCAGTTGTTCTGCAGAGGATGCTGGCAGATCTTACATAAGATCTAAACCTGTTCTATACACCTTCAGGGCTTATCAGCACAGGGCTAAAGAGTTATTCATGTCTGCACTAGGGCAGACTTGGTAGACTAACCTACCAGCAAAACAGGTGCATGAATCTTCCTCAAAGAAGAGAGGAAGGAATAAGATGTTATTTACAATTATTTTCTCATTTCTTTAAAGTCACAGATGTACTATATTTCTCTGGCTTGAAGGTTAGCACAAAACACTGTACAGTTATGTAAGTTCTTTAAAAAAAACCCAAACACAACCCTCAAACAAGAACAATGAGTCACTTGTATTTGAAAACGTATAGAAATTACTTCAGACCAAGAAATAAGGTCCAAGTTTTATTCACATCAGAAGAACTGAAGGACATAAGAAACAGAGATAGATGAAACTACACTGCCCAGAAAGCTGAGCTTTAAACTTCAATGATAGAGGGAAGCATATTGTACTGTCCCAATAAACATGGCTTTCCAGGTGTTTCATTAAGGAATAAGGACTGATCAGTTCACAAGGCAGCACTGACTTATAGTTTAGCTACTCATCAACTATTTCCTGCCCTTTGAAGGATATTAGCTAATTAGAGAAGCCAGTTAAAAAAAGAGTCTTCCAAGAACATTTAGTTTTTGCAGTATTACTTTACTCAAAAATAAGTCAGTCATTCTTAGTATCTTAGAGCAAAAGAAGTATTATCTTACATTTAGAATATTTTGTTCAAGAATATTTTTAGCAAGGATAGCTAATCACTTAGATACTGACAGATTCTAGAGCAACACTGAAGCGTGGATGCCAAGTGCTGTAGGACATTGTTGCTCAGTTACTTGTTATCCACCTGGTCCCTTTTTTGCTGTACATGAGCTTGCCTTGAAAGAAATCATTTGTTCCATTATCACAAGAAGCAAGGCTTTATTTGGTCATTGAAATATTTCATGTCCAATCTTAATACAAAAGTGTAAAATGTAGAAGTAAAGCAACAGCTTACCTAAAGTTGAGCACATCAGCACCGTTACCACTAGAAACACCACTTCAGTGTCATTCCAGCATCATTTTCAGTGTCAATACTGCCTGTCACTAAAAATGTCTTTTTTTGCTGTCTTTATCAAACAAATAAAGCAAAGTGACCAAAATTCCTTCCAAGTGAAAATATTCTTAGTATATTGGAGAGTAAAAATTGCAGGTAGGTAGGAAAGACCCACACTCAATGTTAGTAAAGGAAACAAATATATGTATTTACCTCCTGGAACGTCTTCTGCAGTAACAGCAGTAACAGCAACAGACTGCTACAGACACCAGAATGAGTCCAGCTACTACAGCTATGGCAATAATTAAAGCCTCAAAATTTACTGAAAAATATGAACATATTCAACTTGTTAGACTTCAGCATTAACATTTCTCTTTCTGATAATCCTTTGCGGGCATTTTTTCATCTCTATATGCAAAAACCCCCACGTAATTCTGTGCAACTACCCCAGGTAAAATGAACATACCACATTCAAATTTTGCTATGATACATAATCCAGACTGAACAGACATTAAGTAAAATTTCTCTTTATATCATTAAGTCATCTGTAATACTTTATGTGTTACGTATCTACTGCTGTGATTTCACAGTTCTGTCCTTCTGTGGTAAGACAGTCAAATTTAGCAAATGAGTTGAGAGAGTCTGTGCTTTCTGATTACATGCACAAGCCAAAGAGTCTGTTACTTCTCTGCAGATCTCATCATCTCATGCCTGGCCAAGGCATAGCCTTCACATATCCTGCCAAGGATTACATCTCAGCAAGCATTTTTGCTTCTGTGTTATCATTTACTGGGTAAACATAGTTTCTAGTTACAATACACATGTAAATTCCAAAATGTAAATTATGGAAGTGACACATTTCATCATACCACATTTTTCATTCTGTTACTTCCCTACAAGTTACAAACAATTGCATATAATTCATCAGTAAAAATTAAAAGTTGCTTTAAAAAAAAAATTGCTTTTTTTAAGGCATACTACTTAATTGAAGCAAAAAATATTTTTGAACCTTTTAACAAAGTACAGAAAAAGACTGTCAGTTTTCAGTCTGCATTCCTGTCTCCACTACCTATTTCATTTGCTTATTAATTATGAAAAAAACCCACAATTAAGCTACTTTGTATTACACTGCTTCTATACTGTTCTTCACTTCATGATGGTTAATAATCTGTCAACACATCTTATTTCATATAAAATTGTAACTGGAAGCCAGTCATTTATTTTTTATTTTGAGAGCTCCAATATTCACCTTCATTTTCAGCAACAGTGAGCAACATTCGTCTCTTAATTTTATTTGCTCAAAGAAAAAACAGCACCACCACGGTCACAAGTTAATGAATTTTCTTGCTGTGTCCGAAGGAGACAGTCTCAATAAGACTATATAACCCCATGGCATGCTGCTGCCTATAATTTGTAAAAAATCTATTAAGGAAATGCGTATTTGAGGATTTTTTTGTTCTTGTTTTGGTTTTTTTTCTGAGAATGTGCTCCATTATGAAGTATTCATTTAGTGTTTAAGCTACAGTCAATCTAGAAACACAAATGTATAAACCATATATGTATAAGCCAAGCTATAAGCCATTTCTACAGCAGGAGTAAACTGCCAAGAACACCCTTAGTATCAGCAGACACTGGTAATCACTGTTATGCAAAAGGACACGTGTTTCTCTACTTGGTGGGTCCGAGAGCGTTAACCTACTTCATAGCAGCTGGTTTGATGCTGTGCTTTGGATTTCTGGCTAAAAAGTGCTGGTAACACACCAATGCTTTTGGCTGTTGCTGAACAGGCTCGAAGAGCATCAAAATATTCTCTTTTTCCCCCCTTCCCTCTGTTCCCCTCAGTGAGCAGGGCTGGACGTAAAGAAGAGATTGCAGAGGTCAGGAGGGGATGCTGACAGAACAATTGACCCCAACTGGCCAAAGAGGTATTCCACACCTTATAAAGTTGTGGTCGCCAATGAAATTTGAGGTAAAAGAAAAATAACTGCAGGGCATAACCGGCTTCCAAGGTGACTACTGTTGGGGGCATCAAACCCAGCGGGAGTTTACCACTTCCCCTGCCTGTGGGAGGTGGTAAGCAATTTCCTTTGCTTGACTTTTTTTTTCTCTCCCTCTTTTTCCTTCACCTATTAAACTGCCTTTGTCTCAATCCATGAGTTTTCTTGCTTTTTTTCTATTTTCTCCCTCCATCCCATTGGGATCAAGGGAGAGAAGGAGGAAGCAGCTGTGTGAATACTCAGCCATTGGCAGGAGTCAACCCTTCACACTTTCAGAAGAAAGGTTTTCAAAATATTTCATAGTAACAGCATTTACTATGATATTGCAAGCCCAGTTTTCTTAGAAGTGTGCCTTATTACTGAAATGTCTCTACTGTACCCTAAAAAAGTTCAAAAGCATAAATGTTTTTTCTCAGAAAACAAAGTCCAAAGCCCTTCTGTAAGAATAAAGAATTGATAAAGTTCTCCTGTACTGTTCAATCTAGTCACTCTGTTTGCAGGGATCAAGTGGTAGTGTTCAGAAACTTGCATGTTCCACTTTAACAGCAATCTTCTACTTCTGCTACTCTAATTTAGACTACTGCATAATCTCTCTGTGCTAAGCGTGGGAACTTTCTTCTAAGTTACAGTTAACAGTCACTGATAGTTCACTCTGAATTGTTTTTGTTCTTTAGCCTCCCAGTGTCCATGAACAAATACACAGAAAGCAGCAAGCCTTTGCTTTGCTGGACTGCAGCTGTACTCTTGTTTCATATGACAAGCTTTCCAATGTCTTATTTGTTCTCTGTTACAATCTAGTCCGAATTGAGATCTGTACACACGGTATTGGAAAAATAGCCCGTGATGGCAGCATATGGTCTGTACTGTATTTTGTAATAAAACATGAAAAGCAAACGGAAATCTAAAAACAATTAAATGATGCAGTACTAAAACCTATGGTGGTCCTCTGCAGCTTCCTTTTTAACATTATTTAACCTTATCTAACCTTATCTACACTGCCTCCAGTGCCCACAGACTACCCTGTTATTTCAGTTGTTTAAGCAAAAATAGCATTCAAGAATTCCTGTGTGACTCTGTTCCTGTGGTATTGGTTCACTGCTGCCACTGGAATATAATAAAGGAACTGCAGATCTAGGCAAATCATCCAACACTTCAAGAAATTTTTAAAAATGTAAAAAAGTTTTAAAGCTGTTAGATCAACATAACTACACTGGCTGTTTACAAAGATCCCTTCCTTAACAACGACTGTTTGTAAGTCCAGAAGATTAAAGATCATGGCTCCAAATCATAACCACTGCCTTCTCCCCCCACCCCTCCACATAAATTATCAGGAAACAGCTCTAGCAAGCAATAGGCTTACTTTAGTCAAACTCATAAGTAACTCTCTACAGCAAAAGTAAAATTAGTACCTACTCCAGCAAACTCCCCATCGAGCATTAGAGAGGGAACACAATGAAGACGGTGGAAGAATGCTTCTTACAGGGTAATCAATGCAAGTGTTGTTGGTGTAACACCAAAGGCACTGCAAAAGAAACAAAAAAAAACCCCCAATTATTCATCTTCAAAAACAGTTAACAATTTAATGCACCTCTCCAAAGACAGAATTCTTATGTGAAAGTGCTTTATATTATCAAGACTACTGAAGTCCTCGTACAATTTCTCAGTAAAACCTAAACTGAATAAGAATATTTTGTACTTCAGGCAACAAATACTTACACTAGCCTGAAAATATATGGGGGAACATATTGAGGTACTCTGTATACTAGAGGGTAAAATGGCTTGGGTTTAAAATTACTGGAATTAACAAGAGGTACAAAATCAGAAAGCCAATTGTACAGGATTTTCAAATACATGGGATCTTTAAGGAATAAAAATACACTTATAATCTTACTTCAGCCCTGTATTTGATTATCAACAGAAATAAAACAGTAAAGAACCCTTACAATTCTACAGGAGGTTTTGCTGCAAGGTAATAAAGGATACAGCCTTATTCAATCTGTGTTGCAAAGTACATTGTGTACCTTACAGTTATGGGTATTTTTTAAATTTAAAATTTCTTATATTATAGTTACAATGCCAGCATAACATTTCTGCTTTTTAAGCCATCACTAGGCATCAAGCTTACGTTTTGGTTTTCATCTGTTAAAATAAATACTTATTCAAAAGTCCTTTACCACACAACTAAAGCAGTGAAGTAGTTTTGAACAACAGTAACAGGAATCTTTGACAAAACACATTTTTTTAGGATTCATTACAGAAAGAGTTCATCGAGGAACTATGCTTTATCTAACAGTACTATCAAGAACATCTCTGTCATACACCCTCAGTTGCACAAAACCAGTTATCTTCCTCTTAATGGGTTAGAAAACGTTAAATACAAAGGAAACCACTTGTAGCAGATTCTGCTTTCTTGCGAAAAGCGGACACAAGAAAAATGTATTAATATTTTGTAGTTGCTAGACTGTACAAGTTAAACATACCCATAAAGACACATCAACAAAAATAATTAAGAAAGTAGAATAAACTTTGCAAAAACCCCTGCCCCTTTAATCAAGGATGTTAGATTAAAAAAATGCCTTTTTTTAATCAAATATTTAATAAGAATTAACAGTTAAAAAATAATGACTAATGGGAAGCATAGTAAAAGTCATTGTTAAACTCTGAATGTAATGTTGGCCCTGTTTTTAGTAGGAGGTTGGACTAGGTGACTCATGAGGTCTCATCTAACCTCAGTGACTCTACTGGTGGTGACAACGAGGGGCCCAGAAAGGCCAGCTGTATCACTGATGGAGACTCCTGCATCTAACTACTAAAAATGTGTCTAGCCCAAAAGGCAATACCTGATACAGCTACTGACTGGGGCAGAGGCTGAACTACATGAAAATATTTCAATTGACTCATTCCCAAAGCTAAAAATTGAGCTAATTATCAAAATCAAGTTAGAAAAAGCCCAACACCTAAACACCCAAGAATGAAACATTTCCTTAACTTTGATCCTCATCTACATAACCTAAAAATGAAGACTGAAAAGACTTTATTTCATTTAGAGGTAAATCATATATCCTTTGCAGAGTATGCTAGTAACAACGTTCACACTCACATGGCTATCAGTGACTTTATTTTAGAACAGCCTCAAATGGATAATGAAGTGCAACACCATTAATTCGGTCCACCCTCATTTTAAAGATATATTTTCAGTATTAAAAGAGATACTATAGTAACTACGAACACAAAATGAATTCTTCTTCCTCTATATTCAGATAAATGTATGCAAGTGACTGTTATCCCTATCCTTCTCTCCAAAAATTGACTATATTTCCTGATCACAATTTCCTATAGCTGGTTTGAGCTTGCCTAAAATCCACTTTCCACAAGAATTTAGATTCCATACATTTATTATTAGGACAAAGACTGAGAATGACACAAATAAACAGCTGAGGGGAAAAGCATATTGGTAGACTATTCAAAAGCTAAAAATGAGACTTTAGAAAATTCTCCAGAATGCTGAGGCTCTATACATGCACTCAAGTTTTAAAATGTAGTCCTATCTCTAACTAGTACTTGCATTGCACACTGTCATGGAGTTAGAAATATGAAGAGAAAACTCTCACAAGGTGTTAATCAATAAATATTTACATATTATCTGGTAAGAGATAAAGTTATCAAATTTTAATATACCTGGTAATCTGCTAGTCATAGCAGTAAATATTTCTCTGAAGTAAATAAATTGAGTTTCAGAATTCAACAGCTCTAATCAAAACCCTTATGTGTTACCTTTTAATGTGCCATATTGTGAGGAATAAGATGAAATTCAATAGCCTATCTGTAAAATTACCACTCAGAACTTATTGATAAAAACCACAAAAAAATAGGTATTCATTGACCCATAATGATGATCAACAAAATTTGAGCATTTTGAGTTATAATTTTATTTAACCGAACTAAATTACTACATTTAATGGTTTGTTTGGAATGGTTTTTATCTATTCACCAAACATTTAATTTTCATTTTTATCTGCTGCTGCTATCTATTTTATCACCAATATGAAAACCTGATTTTTTTTCTACTGAAGCAATAAAAGTAATTTCAGCAATCTGTTGCTTTTGTATTGCTAAAAGAAGTGCTGATGGCTTTGTTCTGTAGCCTTTTTTTTTTTTTAATGTATGTGCAAATTGTCTGAATCAAGTCTAAACTCCTTTTTCAAGGTTAACACTGGTGCTGTTGAAGCAGTTGCCCTGAATCATCCATCATTCTGTCACCAAAACAAACCTGGACGCTGTCTTTGGTTTGACAGATTCTGAAAACAATGTATCTGTAACTCTATAAGTGTCTTCAGCACACAAACACAGCTAAAGGATTTATTTCTCTCACACGGTGAACATGTAGCTCTCAGGTTAATAGAAGCTCTGCTCATGTATCTGCAGCAGCACTTATTTGAAGACAGGGTCACGCTACTGCCACTGCTGAACATTTAACTGGTAATTTTCCTTTTCCTACTTGATAGTTCTGAACATGAAGAGTTCTTTACACAATGCCATTCTTCTGACAACAAATATTCAGGTCTTACAATACACAATAACCACATTAATACACGTCAATTAATATTTTTCCCTTAAAAAGCCAAAATATGCATAAGACAAGGAGGTAAGTTCAGATAGTTCTCAGTCTTTCCTAGAGAAAAAGTTTTGCAGTGACATACGTAACTTAAAGACACCTGAAATATTTCTTCTCAGTGACATCTCAAGTTTGAATTTGAAATAATCTCTCACTTTACTCTGCAGGGACTGACACCTTTTGCATGCTTATTACAGTCCTTATTGTGGAGCCAAAAAAGTTTTCAGCAAAGGAGAGAGAAACAAATTCTAATGTTTAAATGTCTGCCCTATTGCAATCTCACTGGAAATCTAAACATTTTGCTACCAGAACACTGACCCAGCCTTCCAGTCATAAGCACATACAGTCTGAGGTAGTCAATGGAGAGGCCAACACACCTGGACATCTACAAAGTGCTGATCCAATCTGCCTCAGTTAAATGGATTCTTGGGGCATCTTCAGAGAAAGGCACTTCCAGTTTATTTACATTAATTTCCCAGTTCTTCTTTTCAGTATACGAGAAATGCAAGGCATTTTAGCCACATAAAATTGAGTTTATCTTGTTCTTTTAGAAGATGGACATTTAGCTAAGTGCTGCTCACAAAATAAGTCTGAACCAGTACCAACATCAACTTGCTCAGTTGAGCTATAAAAGCCCTGAGCACACATTGACACTGGAAGCCTGGATTCGGTCTGTCCTCTTCAGACAAAGCAGAGAAACACCCTGAGTGACCAAATCATGGAGCACCCCTGGCAAAGTGAAGGCACACTGGCAGCACAGGGGAAGCAGCACATCAGTTGACTTCATCATTCAAATAAGAATAGATAATAGAACTGACTGATCTTGACTTCCTCTTGTTAGGGGGAGTTTGAGTAGATTCACCTTTAAAAACAAAACAAGAAACCCACCAAACAGTCAAAATAACCTCAACAATTTGATTTCATATGAAGTGGAAATTTTCATCAATCAAAAAAGATGTTAAAAATCTTACCGAAACATTTTTTAGACATTCATCACAGGACTTCTGGGAAAATGCTGAACATGCTAGAAAAAACAAACAAACAAACACACAGAGATTATATATTTATTTTTATTCCACAAGCATTTATCATAACATTTGTCATTTTCTTTTTTCTGGTTCTAGATACAAGCAACAATTTTGAAAGACGTAATGAAATCTCAGTAATTCCATTCCAGGAGAACTGCAGGAAACACAGATACAAAACATTTAAATTTGACCTCTGATACAGGGAAACAACTCAAGGTTACCTTTAACTTCAATTTTTTTTCTCTAAGGACAATACAGGAGATTTAACCCAAAACCCTCCCTGTATCTTTGCTGAAGTTCTAGGACTTCCACACTTCAATTTAGGGAACATTCTAAATTTTGCAGGTTTGGAACCTTTGCAAAAGCTGACCCTTGTCTAGGGTTGATTCCCAGCCATAGATATTAACCTTTCTTCTGGGGGAAAAGTTTTTAAAAGATAAAGCTCTCCAAATAACATGATTTTAAATAACAAAAAAACCCCACTTCCAAACATAGGACACAAGTTAATTTGCAAGTATTCAACAAGACCTTTAACAGAAGTTTGAAAAGACAAGTGACATGGAAGCACTTAACGCACATTCTCTTTGGATGTAAAAAAAAAAAAAATATATTTACTGGTGTTCACATTTACTTCATGTAGAAGTACTGCATGTTTATCATCTTAAGACCAGTCTTTTTTTATCCATAACTCAGATATAACTTGTTGCCCACAGGACCACATACATGCCAAAGTCTTGACCTAGATGAACTACTCAAAAGATGAGTGGGAGTCTCTTCTGGTCTGACCCTGGATTTTTCTTCCAGTAACTGTAGTTCCTATGATAATTTTTATACTATTTAATGAAACAAACTTTTTATTATTTCTATAAATATCACATATACAAGGGGAAGATATCTCCAAAACGGGAATTCAATTATAGCTTTAATGAAAAACTGCATTAGTCACAAGCAGTTATCAATTTGACCTAAGTTATTTACTTGTGAGACAACTCTATATTTCAATATTTTCTTTTCATAATTCAATATTATATCTTTCTGGTACTAATTCCTAACATTAAATGTATTTTATATACTAGTATATTCAGCTTTAATTAATATTTTTGTAGAGAAAAACACCCTACTACTTTATCTGGTACCAATTAAATTGTTACCAGTACCAATTAACAGCTTCAGTGTAAGGCCAATATACCAATTCATGGAAAAACAACACGAAAAGCAGCTTTAGAAACAGTTCTCAGTTTAAACTTAAAAATTTTCAAATGGGATTATTCCACATGAAGTACCACCATACTTATTATAAAAATGCTTAATTACATTTTCAATTTAAGATTTAAAACACCCAAACAAACTAGCTTTCTAAACACGAATTAGCGAAGCACTGTCAGAAACATGCAAGTACACCAAACAAGATTTAGGTTAGACTTAGATTTCTAAAATGAGATTTAGGTTACATTTTCAGTACCTGAGTAATCTACAGCAAAGTGAAGAAATATTCCTTGGATTTTTATCAAACTTTTCATACTGTTTCTTTTTTATGCCTTCCTATTGCCATATTATAGCAGATAAGCTCTACAGACATATAATCAAAAGATGGAGGCATAAACTGTTAAAAAAAATTAGATTAAACATAAATTCTAGAAGTCTAAAGAACAGTATAAGTCTTAGCAAAAATACTTCCAAACATATCACAATACATATTTCAAAAATAAAAACAACTTTATATACCACTGTTATCAAATTTAACATTACTATAAGTGACAGAAAACAAAAATTTTTCATTCTGCTTTATATATTTCTCCAAATCACATCACTTACAAAGATATATAAATTTCCCTCCAGTTACAGTGTTCTCCACAAGAGAAGATAGAATAAAATGTCTCTCAAACTGAAAAGGAAAAACACAGCCGTCCCCTCCAATCTACCTTGCTAAAGCACTATGTGCATCAGCACATTAAACAAAAATAACTTTGAATTATTGTTTTACATTCAAACATATATGAAGTTGACATTCTCCCTCTAGCATTTCAAGGGTATACTGTATTATCGGTATTGGGGAAAAAGATAAATGTAAACCATACTATCACTATCAACAATAATTCACAATGTATTTTAAACAATATTTTTCAAACATAGTAATTCCTTCTATACTGCCATGTAACATCAGCTTTAATGACCTAACATACAATAAAATGAGAAATCATTTTTACACACTAAGACTGGTTTACTAAGTAGTGGAAGCATTATTTTGACAAATGCAATTTTTACCAAAATAGTTTAGTGCAACACCTTGTACAGAGTGAAGTGTAGTGGTATGAAGATTATATTCACACATGATAAGTAAAAGCTATTACTGTCCATGCACTTTTATTTTTTAATTACAACTAAAATGCTGCCCAGCCATACAGGAATTGTACTAAGTTAACTATACACTAATTATCTGTATGATCTTACTTTTTTTAAGAGACATACTCATGGACGAGGATAAAAACACAGAACAAAGGCTGTTCCTCCACCAAATACAGGCAAAATAGAACAGCACTGACAATAAAACTCTATTTTGCTTAAGAACAGCTTTTTCCCCTTCCCAATATGTATTTACGCACGAAGGTAGTATATGCAACATTGGGATTTTTTGGTTTGTTTTTTTCTCTCCAGGAAGACAGAAGTCTACACAGCACATACAAGGACTGATGACTGCTGTACACCCTTAAGATCAGTGAGGAATTAGGGGTGATACCTCTTACCATCCCACTAAAACTAAACAACACAACTGCTCAGACAGCCAAAAACCTTTCAACATCTACATTAAGCTTATTCACAGCTTGTTTATTTTAATGTCATCTCTGTCTCCTTTCTTAGGACACCACTACTCCTCAACGTAAAACAGTTGTTCCCTCTTTCTGGTACACAAGTACCTTCTCCCTCAAGCTTCCTTCTGCTCCAGCAATTAAAGCCATACTCTTCTTGGTATTTTCTGAAATGGGGAACAATACACCCTTTGTAGTCCTGCTTTATGCCAGTCCAGCCCTGTTGAACATAGGTGCTGAACTGGTGGAATATTTAGCAGGATGGCATACAAGGTCCCACAGTTTTGCAAGACTACCACAGAACTGTCTTCTCTGTCTTCAGGAGAGCATCCCTTCAGTAACTGATGTGGATCTGACAGTCAACAAGCCTACCTCCCTACTTTTTTCCAACTGTTTCAATTTAAGATTAGAATAATACATAATAGTCATATGGCATAACAATCTACCTCTTTTTTTTCCACTTCAAACATATTTCTAATATTTATTCCATAAAGGTCACCCACATCTTTCTGTGTAATATCCTGCTCCTTCTCCATAACAACCAACCTGTCAAGAGCAAATTCCTATACTCCTGTAAGAACAATAATACATTAAAGCTTCTTCCTAGAGAATCCATAAGGAATCCCACTATGAATTCGACAAAGGTTTTGACTTCAAACTCAATCTTTGGTTTTGCTTACATTTCTCAGAACTACTAGAAAGAAGCTGATTAACTTGCAGCTGTTGATAGGTTTACCTTTTGTTACTTCCTCTCTAACAGCTGAGGAACACTGACAGCTCCCTTTCTGTGCTGCTTCAAGTTAGTTGTCTCTCAAAGCTGGAGACACCCTTTTCGAGTATAAACCTTCTCTAAAAGCAATTAAACATCTCAAACCGGAGTCTAGACACACACATCAAGGTCCACTTGAGATACCCTAATTTAATGCCAACTAACCCAACGTGCACCTTTGTGGTCACATCTGTGAGCAGCAACCAAATCTGAGGCTGAGCTTCACCAACTGCCTGCCAAAAGCAGCTATAAAGCAGCTCTGACATAAACGATTTCAACAGAACAGGGTGGGAAGAGCATCTCCATCAGCTTCTCCTTCCAAGCCACGTTCCTCCTCACCATCCAGGACTGAGCATACCTAGGCGACTGTGTGCTCCTGGATGACCCTGCTTGAGCAGGGAGGTTGGACCAGATGACCCACTGCGGTCCCTTCCACCCTGACTCATCCTGGGACTCTGTGACTGCCGCCCCCGAGCAGCAAAGCTCCCGACACCCCCGCAGGCCGGCAAACCCCAGCGCCATCGACCTGTCCTTCGGCCGGGAGCGGGCTGTTCCCCCCGCCCCACGGAATCAGCTCCGGGTCGGGGCAGGAGCCCCACGGCGAGCCCCGGGCTCCCCCAGCTCTCCCAGCTCTCCCGAAGGCTCCGGGCAGTGCTGGGCCCCAGCAGGCCCAGGGCCGTCCCCCGCCGTGCCCCGATCAGGGCCGAGCGCTGACCGCGGGCACACCCGCCCGGGAAGGCCCTACGGCCGCACCCCCTGCGGGGCGCAAGGGAAGAGAAAGGAAGAGAACGAAAGGGAAGGGAAAGGAAGAGAACCCCGCGCTCCCGTGCTGCCCGCCTCGCCTTACCCAGCGCCGGCGGAGCCCCGGTGGGGCTCTGCGCCAGCCCCATCGCGGCTCGGCCCCAGAGCAGCGCCAGGCCCTGCAACCACAGCGGCCACCGCCGCGCCTCCATCGCCGGGATGAGTCGGGACCGGGCTCGCTCCGCGCCCGGCCCCGCGCAGGCGCCGGAGCCCCGCGGGGCGGAGCGGGGCGGGCCCGGCGCGGGGCGAGCGGCCGCTCACCTGCAGTCGCTGTAGGCCGGTTGAGCGGTACACCGGGCCTTTTTCTCTCTCTCGAGGCGTGTTCTTTGGATGTGACACTCTTCCTCCCTTTGCAGTGTTAACTCTGCGGTGCCTGTGAGGGCGAGGAGGTGGCGAGGATCCTGAGCCCCGGCTCCTGCTTGCTTGTGTCGTTCCTCATTGAGGATGGGCCAGCAGGCTGCCAGAGCCAGCAAAGACATCCCCAAGCCAGGGCTACCAGAGAAGAGAATAAAGAGATGGGGACAAACTTAAAATTTGCCGTGACCTTTCAATTTAAAAAGACTAATGAGTTGTTGGTTGTACACAGTGACACACCTCTTAGGGCCTTACGGAAGCATTTAACACTCTTTGAAATGCCCAAGGGTGTACAGAACACCCAGATCAGGCTGCAAGTTATAGCACAGGAACAAAAGAAACAGCCCCCAAACCCTCTGAGATGGCAGGGTAAGGACACATAGGACATTTTGGGCATCTCAGCAGCCCTAGACAACTGTGTTTAGGCACTGAATCAAATCCTTAATGGCCCACAAAGTGAGATACCTTGCCATGCTGGGACAGCCAACCTTGCTTTAATTAAACGATCCCATAGCTGAACTTTGAACACTGTGACCGTGGGAAGTTTGATATTGGGCTATCAATAACCAAAGTACTGGTGTAGGATTTGTTAGTGCTCAAAGATTCTGCTCCGAGTGGGAAGCAAACGCTCCCTCCAAATATGGCATTGTTCAGTCAGTGGTGACTCTAGCTACTTGTGACCACCTTTCTCAAACACTCCCTCTCTTCTATTTAGGCCATTTTTATTAGTCTTGTGTACTAAGACCATTGTTGCTCTTGAAAGTATTGGAGTTGGTTTGTTGGTATAGAGAAAGCAGATCTGAGCTATTTCAGATGCTTTTGCAAATACACTTGAGTTATTACAAGGAATAAGAGGAATGTTCTTCACAGTGGTTGACCTTGCCATCCTATCTATCTTTAGACACCTGATTCACCTTACTGCAGAGATTAATCTCCCTAAAATCCCACAAGTAAGAGATGAGTAGCTCCAGGAAAAAGTTCAGAGGGAATTATGACAACTGCTATTAACTTTGGTGGCTTAGGCCAGCGTGTAAAATTGAAGGGATTGAACCCAACTAAGGTGCCCTTACCTTAAGTTTCAACCCATGCATTAAAAAGTTATATACATTTAATTTTGTCTATGTCATCTTTTGATTTTTTTGCAGCAGGTTTAGAGTCCCTGCTTCTTGGTTTTCAGGGATGTTAGAAAAATAAAACCAAAAGCGTGAATATATAGGCCATATGGACACAAAGATGTTTTTTACCTGAGGTTAATGTAGGACAATACTTCTTTGTGACTTAGCCTGCTTCAGGTGGCAGGATCGTTGAATGGTTTGGGTTGGAAGGGACCTTTAAAGGTCATCTAGTCCCACTCCCCTACAATGAGCAGGGACATCTTTTGCCAGGTTTTACCACGTGTTCAAATCTATAAATCTTTATGCTTTGAAAACCTTCTTTTTTTCTTGTTTCTTGAAGTCACTTGGAATGTGCTCTTGGAATGCCAGAGACACACAAGTGACAAAGACTACCAAAGACAAGGAACTGTTTACAATATATAATTTTGTATACAATATATTATTATATTAATTCAATAGATCATAGCTACGGAGGCATATGACAGAGATGTATAAAGTCATGAGTGGCACAGAAAAAGTGAACACAGGAGGACTTCTTTCTAATACAAGACCTGAAGGGCATTGAACACAATTATCAAGTAGAAGATTGAAAAAAAAAAGTACTTAGAAGAAAATAAAGAGCTTAAAATTGTGAAACTCCGTATTTGGATATTAAGGACACTACAAGTTCAGGTTAGGCCAAAAGTCAGGAATTTTTTTCCATGAATATGTCTGTTAACAGTTATTAAATACCAAGATATTACCTCTGGTTCAGAAAGTCCCTGAACCACACTGCCAGAAGCTGTGTGCAATTGCTGAGGAAGATGCATTATATGACTGCTTTATTCTGACATTCTTCCTTAGGCATCTGTTGTTCACTGCCATTCTAGGCGAGATACTGAGCTAAAAGTGTCCTTGAAATGACTTTATATGTCTGTTCTTATTAATTTTCTTTTTCTTTGGAGCTTATGTTATATTCAACATGATTTTACTGAATTATGTTTGAGGCAAAGGGGAAGTCCTCTAGCTAATTTTTTATATCTTAGAATTGGATGGTTTTATGTATTCAGTGAAGAACAGCTTCTCATAAAACAGCTCAAATTCCAAGCCAGATTTTGTAATTTTTCCTTGAGGTGCCTCTGGCATGGTTATGTTAGAGGAAGTATCTTTTAGCTGGAGCCGAGTGTTATGGGAGAGAGGGAGAAAAATAGAATTTGCTGAGAGCTCTTCGGAAGTATGGTTATATCCATCTTCTTTGATTTAGCTTTGTTATTCCTCTGGGGGAAGAAAACATTAATACAATTTATGAACAGCTGTGGTAATTCTCTCACAATAACTGTTTCTATAGTAATGAAACACGTTTTTTCTTGGTTAGGTAGCCACTCCCTCAGCAGACATAAATTCCCAGGAAATGGAGTGTAGATGACAAGAAAAAGTGATCTACCAAGAAACTGGGTTTGGAACAAGCTGTATATAGTAAGATTGCAAACAAACGTAAAATCTCAGAACTTAAAACAGTTTTTGCTTTTTTCTGTCATAATTCCATGTGCATTTCAAATTACAAGGATTTTTGTGTGCTCTGTAGATTTTGCCTGGTTTTTTGAACAGTTTTTTTCTACTCATGCATTTTCAACATCACCTTTGGCCCCTTTTCCTCCTCTCTGCTCCAGCTCCTCCATAGTGATAGAACAGCTGAATGAGCCATTCCCTGGGTAGATGAACAAAGAACAGATTGGGCTGACAGAATCTTGTCTTCTTTTTTTAGCTCATTTATTTTTCATCCTTACTGGCACTAACAATCTCAAAGGTGATTATATGGGTTACAAAGTCTCTGTGTGTTCAGTTGATTCCCTTAATGACAGTGTTACTTCATCACTGTGACTGAGTTTACCCAGCTTGCCTGATTGCAATATGCTTAAATAATTCAGCTGATAAGTCATAAAAGTGATTAAATTGTCACTTCTTTTTTTCCTGTGTTGGGCTTATGAACGTAGGTCCTGGTAAAAGATATTTTGCTACAGCAATACATTGTTCAAAGAGTTTGTTTTAGTTTGTGGCTGGCTGGAGCATGAATGTGTCTTCAGGTTGCGGTTTGATGTGTAATTAGATCAGTGTTTCCAAAACAATCAGTCTGTACTTCTCTGTCCCTGAATATTTGTTCTTGTATCTGAAAACCACTGTGGTATATGAAGATAAATGTACCTGCATGCCTACAGTGAACTTATGCATGTGGAAGTTAGTTTTTCAGTGAGATCAGTGATACCCTATGTGGCTCACTGTGCATGGTACCAAATTTTTGTGCTGGCATAGCAGAGGAGAAATTGTACCCCAGAGGGTTTTGTTTCTTTGATTTCTCAGGAATCAATTTCTGCAGGACCAGCTTAAATGTACGTTGGCTTCATGTTAAGGCTTCATGGCTTCCCTGAAGTCATGCAAGAGGGTACATGTGCAGTCTAGTACTTTAACAAAGTACTAACTGATTAAATACCTACAGGGTATAAGAATGTGCACCTTCATATAGTCTTCTTAAGTGTGTATTCAGACTTTAATAAAATGGCTTCTACAACTATCTTTCTAAAATTAAAATTATTAATAATACCATTTTATGGAGGAAAATGTGCAGCCATGAGTTCAGGCTATTTCTCAAGGTCAGATAAAGAAAATTAGATCTTCCTGGTCAATATTCACCTTCTGCCTTATAATAACCACTCTTCCATAAATCATCTTTGCTGAAACAGAATTCCTAGAGATCTGAATGATTAGAAGGTTTAAGTATCATAAACAAATTAGAATCAGTCCTGCAAACACACAGATAGCAGATATTTGCAGGGATCAGAGCAATGCAGTTTATTCAAGGGGTTTGTGGTTTTGCTATAAATGCCATGGCCCATTTTCATCTTTCAGGCAAACCCTGAGATTAAACAGGAGATTAAATTGGCTGCTAAATGGTCTTAATAAATTCAGACGTGATCAGCAGAATACTACTGGGACAGTTAAAGTAAATCAGTCTTCTCAATAGATGGGGGCTTCTGCTGTCACGGAAATAAGATTTGCACCCACGGTGAGTTTTCACTTGTAAAGAAGTAACCTAGGGGAATATACAGGATCAGATCAGTGTCTCTGCTACGGGTGGTGGTAGCAGCTGATTTTCTTTGGTTTTCATTGCATTGTACTCAGGTGACCACTCACTTAATATTTAGGGAATAAACATACTTTTCAAAAGTGTATCTGCATAATTACTGAATTATCTTGTGGTTATACTGAGTGATAAAAATATTAGCCTCACCAAAAAAGGCATATAGTGGATATTTTTGCCTTCTAATTTTCTCAGCTCCTGTTACATGGGAAGTTTTTTTGAAAAAGAATAGTTGTGAATAGCTCTATGTGCACGATTCTGAAGAATGGTTAATAGTGCTGAATTGCAGTCAAATTGAATTATAGTCTATTTTTAGATTTATTGTAGTACTACTGTGACCAAAATGACAAGCCAGGTGCTTCAAAACTTGTATTTCAGTCAAATCTGACAGTGCATAAACAGCTGTTAACATTTACCCCTCTCTAATATTTCAAACAAGACAGAATGATGAATTTCCTAATATATCTTGTACTGAACTGATGACTCTTAACAGGGCTAACTAATTTATTTTGAAAAGCATTGGACTTAGGCAAAGACTAATTTTTAAATGCAGCATTTCTTTGATGGCAGGGTTGATTTGTTTTTTGGCTGAGCAGTGTT